TGCTTTATCCATATATACTGACATTACGACAGCACGACTTACTTAGTTGCAAACTGATGGCTTGACATGGAGACGCATTACCAGACACATTACCAGAGAGATTTGATCAACGCATAGATTGGCAAATGGGTGGCTTGATGGAATGGCCGACAAGTAAATTTAGTGAGAGCATGAATTGATCTGTTTAGGGTGAGGTGTAAGGTTGTAAGCCCATCATCAGCAGACACACCCGACCACCTACCATCCTCACGAACGATGCCATCGTGGCCATCTGAAGAATAGGGATCCAATGCCACATCGGTGTAGATGCACTGCAGATATGACACACGAACACAACATACACGCAACGAGTGCAAAATGAGGACACAAGGAACATATAAGTGTGTAGTGCCAGGGATTAAAAACGCCGCATTTTTTACTGTTTTTTTTGGGGGGGGGAGGGCCGTATCTTGACCCACATCAGTGTAGATATACATTGCAGACGGAACACACAAAAGAAGACATACATGCACTAAAGCACAAGATGACACAAGGAACATTGAAGTGTGTAGCACCAGGGATTAAAACTTCCGTGTTTTTTTTTTTTTTTCCTTTCTTCCTTTTTTCTGGACCATTTCTCGATTTGTGTCTCATCACTGGTTGTGCAGGGGCCGTGCTAATTAATCTTCTGTATTGTTCCAATTTTAACAGATGTCCCAAAGGACCAGATTTCCACTTTCTGGAGCACCATAAAACATAGACTTTTAAGTTGGAATAAGGTTTCTGGAAGTCTCGCGCCAAACTTCGAATGGGCCGTCGAAGTCCCATGCCATGAGGCTTAAGAGCCCCACGCCGTGATCCATTGACTAAATAGATGGCACTCAAATCATGTGATGAGGTCATTAGAAAGCAGATGAGAAAATTAGAATACAGCACCATAGCCCAGCTATCAAGAAAGCAGAAAGCAACAGGTCCCCTCTAGAGTGGATGCGGTGGCCATACCATAACAGGGAGTAATTTAGTTTGTTAGTCATTTACAATGTATTAGTTAGCTATATAGTCTACATTAACCGTTCAAATTTCCACAAGGCATCGGATCGCATCTGTCCAGGCATGCTGATGTGGCACTGCCTTTGATCTACATGCATGCTGATGTGGCGCTGCCTATGGTCTACATTGCATGCTGATGTGGCCCTGCCTATGGTCTACATTGCAGGCTGATGTGGCCCTGCCTATTGTCTACATTGCATGCTGATGTGGCGCTGCCTATGGTCTACATTGCATGATGATGTGGCGCATGCCACAGGTCTACATTGCTGATGTGGCGCTTGCCACTGGTCTTCATTGATGATGTGGCGCATGCCACCTGTCTCGACTGCTGATGTGGCATGATCCACGCTGTCTGCATGAGGTGACTGGTTGCGAGGAGGAGAAAGATCGCGATCTGTGGATGATTGGGTTCGGGTACTCACCTGAGGTTGACATCGTCACGGTATTCTGCTGTGTCTTCATGGTCTTCACGAGATAAGAGTGCCACGTGGCACTACTGTGTGATCAGGATTATTATACTTGTTATCATATACTGGTTGATGACGTGGAGAGGGAAGCAGCCCGGAGAAGAAGTGGGGTTTGATGGGATTACTCTTGTGTGATCTTTGATCATCTCTTCCACCTTCTCCTCTGTCTAATCCCCCTCCACTCTCTTCGTCTAATGGTAATGAGATCCTGTTTCAGATATCACTTCACGATAATTGGAGACTTTGCTGCAGATGTCTAGACTACTGGTGCATGACGACTGACGAGTATCTGCCAGACGGGGTTCATTACACTTCTTTCTGACAACAGAATTCATAATTTCATATATATATATATATTTCATATATTTACTATATTAACATTTTAAAAAACTACCACTCTTCTGAATCAAGAAAAAGCTGAGGTTCAAGGTTTTTGCATGAGAGAAGAGAATTCCATAGCTGCCCTTCAGCGATGAAGGGAGGGGGTGGTGGGGTGGTGGGGTGGGGGTGATGACATTCAGACAGGATACCAGACCAAAGAAGCAATGAAGGAAGGGGGGGTGGGTTCAATAACAATCAGACGGTATAAATAGAGCAAGCCGAAGGAGCGATGAAGGAAGTTGTGGTAAGAATCAGACAGAATAAAAGGCCAAAAGACCGAGAATGGGGGTTGAATACTATCCCATAACGATTCCATAACCGAGCTTCGGCGATGAAGGGCAGGTTGATGACAATCAAACAGTATACCAGACCAAAGTAGCGATGAAGGGGGTAGACGAAAAGCGGACACTATTTTACAACATAGTTATGGATCCATACTTTCTCGCCTCAGACCTCGTCCGCGAAAGCACGGATTCGAACCGGCGCCCTTGGCCACAAGAGACAGGTCTCTTAACCACTACAGCCAGGGCACAGTGTGAAACCGCCAGTACACACCCCAGCCTTGCAGAAAATGTTTCGTCGCCTACTCCCAAAATTTTGCGACTCCCGAACCACAATGGCTGGCAGCGCCAGACAAAAAAGAAAAAAACAAGTGTGCCGCTGGTGGTTCGGCAAAGCTTGGCGTGTAGTGGAACGCCTCCAGGCCCGGGTGTACTGGTGGTTTCAAAGTGGAAGCATACCGGTCATGAATCAGACAATTGTTTTTTTAACTTTTTTCTTTTCTTTTCTTTTCTCTTCTTTTCTTTAAATTGTAATCCCTCTTTTTTAACAAGGCCAAAGGAACAAGGAATGGGCTTGATGAGTCCTTCGGGACATTCGTTAAAATTGGAACGATACAGAGAAAGTAAGATTAGCATGGCCCCTGCGCGAGGATGCCACGCATAAATCGAGAAATGGTCCATTTTTATTTTTATTTTTTTTAACAGGAATGGGGTTGATGACAATAAGATAACTTTAAATAGCACTCACCAGGTCAGGGAAGGTGTCCTTCAGAAGACGTATTGCTCGTGGAACCAGACCATTCGGGTTGTACGCCTCGTCACCAGTTGGGGACTTCAGCGCCATCATCACACACAGCCATCAGCAGAGACTATATGAGAACAATTTGGAAAAGCTCTTCAGGCACAGAACCAACCCACTGCTGCATTTGTGAGAATACATTAAAAAAAAAAGAGAGAGACCTTTACAGGAGTGGACGCTTCTTTTCGTCTCCATCTGACCGAGTACAGTGCATCGTCCTAACGTATTTGCCATCAGCTCTAATTTGAACAACACAGTAAAGTGTGCCGCCGATACAGGAAAAACACGAAAACACTGGAGCAGTGACAGCTCTCTTGCAGCCATTCACAATGATGCAAGCCAAAAATGCTGCCATATATCGTCAAATAGAACTGCCCGGTAAACCGTAGGCAGAGAGGGAGAAGAGGACAACAAATGAGGGGCTGTGACAAACTGTTTCGTCGGAGTTTCACCGACTTATCAGGAGGCTGAACCCTCAACAGTCTGCAGAATCCCCTCACTGATTACACTGTAAATGATAATCTACCTTAACCAAAATCAAAGTAGACTATCACTCACCCACACCAGATGGAAAACTCTACAGACTGTCGGTTCATATTCTGTCTGGTAGACTGAGGCCAACATACTCACAGTAGGACTTTTTTAGACTGAACTTGGCCATATGTTTGATCAGATGCGTCCCGGAAAGACCCAGTGCAAGTATCCCCTAAGTGGTACTGGTTGTGCCTACTGTCTTCACCCGAATAGAATGCCCAGTCATTATCACTGCATCTGGACTGAAAAATGCCCCAAATACAGCTATAATGACCAAGCGTTGTATTCGGGTGAAGACGGTAGTGGCTTTTGCAAGACGACTAAGCTTTTCATGCTTGGCAGCTGATCCTCAGGTCATGAAGAGAAAATTTTGCGACCCATGGAAACCCTGTGAACTTTTGGCCATTTTTTGGGGGGAATTCGGGGCACTATGGGACTTTGGCGAAACATGGGACCTTTGGGAAACTTGGGACTCTTGAGGAAACTTTGAGGACGTAAGGGGATTTCAGGGATTTGAGGGCACTGAAAGGGCACTTTGGGGATTTAAAGGGAACTTTGGGGATTTATGGGAAAGTTTGGCGACTTAAACCGCCTGTACATGGCCCCAGCCAAGTCGAGAATCCGATTGAGCCTCTCCTAAAATTTCGGAGGCTCAGGACAAGGGGTCTGAAGGGCCAGTAGAAAAAAAAAAAAAAAAAAGGTCCCATGCCTTGGGGTGTGGGCCCAGCCCTGAACAAAAATAAAATTCCGCCCAACCCCAGGCGAGCCCTGTTCCCGAGTGCCCTTACTTTTCAGAGAGGCTCATCCGAATTCTCCAGATGCACCACCAGTACATCGCCCAGGCAAACTTGGGAATTGAAATTCAGCCAATCAGATTCTGCGGATTTCGCATGAGCAGTGCTACCAGACCAAAATGGCTGCCACAGCCAGCCCAAAAAACTTAAAAAAAAGGAAAAAAGTCCATTGCTGGCGATTCGGCAAAGGTTAGTATGCAGTGCAAATTCACCATGGCAAAAGGAGGCTCGAAGGTACTGGTGGTTTAAGGGAGGTTTGGAAAACCTCAGACTCTAGCAAACTTCTTGGGAACGTTGAAAAAAATTTGGGACTTCCAGAGACTTCGGGAACTTCGGGGAACTTCAGGGAACTTCAGGGATTTCAGGAAAACTTCTGAGACTTTGTGGGACTTCAGGGACCTTTGGGACCTTTGGGTACCATCAGGGAGCTCGCTGGAAACTTTCGGGACATTCTTCTGAGACTTTGTGGGACTTCAGGGACCTTTGGGACCTTTGGGGACCATCAGGGAGCTCGCTGGAAACTTTCAGGACATTCTTCTGACTCTTCTGAGACTTTGTGGGACTTCAGGGACCTTTGGGACTTTTGGGAACCATCAGGGACCTCGCTGGACACTTTCGGGACATTCTTCTGCGACTTTGTGGGACTTCAGGGACTTTTGGGAACCATCAGGGAGCTCGCTGGAAACTTTCGGGACATTCGAGAACTTCAGGGAACTTCAGGGACTTCTCTCAGGGCACTCCGGGGCATTAGGGAATTTTGGGACTTTACGAGAACTTGGGGAACACGGGGGAAACTCAGGGAACTCTTACAAACGAAGACATTCCAAAGACTGAAATTCGCCAAAAGGTTTGTAAAATCAAGGAGCATTCTCTTTTTTTCTTTTTTCTTTTTTCCATGCCCTTATCAATGTTTTTTTTTTTTTTTTTAACTAAGCTAGATTCTTCTCTCAGGGCGCTGGCCTTCTTTCTCTTTTTTGTTTTGTTTTGTTTTGTTACCTTGAGGGCATCTGGCACCTTCGGGAAAAGCACCACGCTGTTCACACCTACATCTCTCGCCTTCCGCACCTGAACAACAGTTTCAAAGGAGCAAACGTGCAAGCACTATCATCAGCACAGAAGAGACTTCGGACAAAAGTAATGCGACAGACAAGACATATGATGACAACACGAAGTGGGGGGGGAAAAAAAAAGGGTCATTAATGGATGGATCCAGCCAAGAAATGATGCGCAATTAGCGCCCTCCCATTTGCGGTTAAAATGGGTTATAACTTGTAAATGGATTCATGCAACAAATAATCAATCAAGGACCCATTTGCAGCAAAAAGGGGTGGGTCAGTAATGACTAATTAATGGATCCACTCAATAGATGACGACCAATTAATGACCCATTTGCAGTTAAAACGGGTCAGTAACGAGTCTGACGACCAAGTAATTAACGTCTCATCCTCAGTGAATAGGGGTCCATTAATGGGACCCATTCTAACAGATCATGATCGATTAATGACCCATTTACGGTGAAAATGGGTCACTAGTAATGATCAGCTAATTAATGACCAATTGCCATTGTGGAATAGATCCATGCAACAAATGATGATAACAAAATGAATGGATCCATTCAACGAATCAATACAGCCAAAAAACAAAAGACGAGACGAGCGAGCTGCCTAAACGACATGGGGACGTAGATTGGACGGCGGATTCCCTGGCAGCAAATCAGCCATCATGCAGACAGAAAAGAGTGCATGAGAGGACACACAGTAGACAAAAGCGGAGAAGGGGAGGCAGGAGGCTACTGGTCCTGGCAATGCGCAGGACGGTTTGCCAAGATTTTGTACCGACTCAACCGCCCATAATATATTCGTCAAGGACCTGTTGTGATTATGCCATGACATTATGTCCAGCTTCATATCAAGCAAGAAGACAGCTCATAGACAGAAAGAGAGGAAGGAGGTGGGGAGAGAGAAAGAGAGAGAAGAAGAGAGAGAGAGAGAGAGAGAGAGAGAGAGAGAGAGAGAGAGAGAGAGAGAGAGAGAGAGAGAGAGAGAGAGAGAGAGAGAGA